TGTCTTCCACCTGTGCTAGTTACCCAACATACAATGTCTTCCACCTATGCTAGTTACCCAACATACAATGTGTTCCACCTGTGCTAGTTACCCAACATACAATGTCTTCCACCTATGCTAGTTACCCAACATACAACGTGTTCCACCTGTGCTAGTTACCCAACAACGTGTTCCACCTGTGCTAGTTACCCAACAGTGTCTTCCACCTGTGCTAGTTACTCAACATACAATGTCTTCCTGTGCTAGTTACTCAACATACAATGTCTTCCTGTGCTAGTTACTCAACATACAATGTCTTCCACCTGTGCTAGTTACTTAACATACAATGTCTTCCACCTGTGCGAGTTACTCAACATACAATGTCTTCCACCCGTGCTAGTTACCCAACATACAATGTCTTCCACCTGTGCTAGTCACTCAACATACAATGTCTTCCACCTGTGCTAGTTACTCAACATACAATGTCTTCCACCTGTGTTAGTTACCCAACATACAATGTCTTCCACCTGTGCTAGTTACCCAACATACAATGTCTTCCACCTGTGCTAGTTACCCAACATACAATGTCTTCCACCTGTGCTAGTTACCCAACATACAATGTCTTCCACCTGTGCTAGTTACTCAACATACAATGTCTTCCACCTGTTCTAGTTACCCAACATACAATGTCTTCCACCTGTGCTAGTTACCCAACATACAATGTCTTCCACCTGTGCTAGTTACCCAACATACAATGTCTTCCACCTGTGCTAGTTACTCAACATACAATGTCTTCCACCTGTGCTAGTTACCCAACATACAATGTCTTCCACCTGTGCTAGTTACCCAACATACAATGTCTTCCACCTGTGCTAGTTACCCAACATACAATGTCTTCCACCTGTGCTAGTTACCCAACATACAATGTCTTCCACCTGTGCTAGTTACCTAACATACAATGTCTTCCACCTGTGCTAGTTACCCAACATACAATGTCTTCCACCTGTGCTAGTTACCCAACATTGTCTTCCACCTGTGCTAGTTACCCAACATACAATGTCTTCCACCTATGCTAGTTACCCAACATACAATGTGTTCCACCTGTGCTAGTTACCCAACATACAATGTCTTCCACCTATGCTAGTTACCCAACATACAACGTGTTCCACCTGTGCTAGTTACCCAACAACGTGTTCCACCTGTGCTAGTTACCCAACAGTGTCTTCCACCTGTGCTAGTTACTCAACATACAATGTCTTCCTGTGCTAGTTACTCAACATACAATGTCTTCCCGTGCTAGTTACTCAACATACAATGTCTTCCACCTGTGCTAGTTACTTAACATACAATGTCTTCCACCTGTGCTAGTTACCCAACATACAATGTCTTCCACCTGTGCTAGTTACCCAACATACAATGTCTTCCACCTGTGCTAGTTACCCAACATACAATGTCTTCCACCTGTGCTAGTTACCCAACATACAATGTCTTCCACCTGTGCTAGTTACCCAACATACAATGTCTTCCACCTGTGCTAGTTACTCAACATACAATGTCTTCCACCTGTGCTAGTTACCCAACATACAATGTCTTCCACCTGTGCTAGTTACTCAACATACACTTTGTGTATGCGAGACCTGTCTTTATTAGATATTTTCACAACGTTATTTGTAGCCCCTTTTTTTCAGTTTTTAACTTGTTCATTTTTAATCATATCTCCCCAAATTCTACACATTTCATTATTTCATGCTTATTAATATCCAGGAGATTGATTGATCTGTATATTTCGATCCCCCTTGTGGGATCCTCTTCGTCAGATAGAGGATCCCACTCGTGGCGAGGCGTTTCCTCTAATAGGTGTCGTGAACTGTACGTAAGTGTCTTTTTCCACATCTTGTCGGTATCACCATACCATTTCCTCATGAGTGGAAGTGTCTGCCTAGTAGGGTTATTGAAGCTAAAACGTTGTGTAGTTTCAAATTTAGATAAATACATGAGTGAGAGGGGTTAGATAAATACATGAGTGAGAGGGGTTAGATAAATACATGAGTGAGAGGGGTTAGATAAATACATGAGTGAGAGGGTTTGGATTTGAGTGAGACTTGCATAATGAGTAAATAGAATCATCAAAACTTATTTCTTGGGTTGGGCAAATATTTTGTTAGTGGGAAGGATTGTTAAGGACCTGCCTAGTATGGGCCAACAGGCCTGCCGCAGTGTTCCTCCTTTCTTATGTTCTTATACATATTAATCGATCTTCTGAGTTTTTGTCAGTGTGGGTTTTTATTAGGCATTTAACAGATTTAAGGTTGGAACCTTAATCTGTTAATCACAGCTTGGTGACTGACCAGCGAGATGCTCACTGATTTCCTCTGAAGTTTGAAAACTTCAGTTTCATGGAGTGAACTCTTCTTCAGGCTGAGGGACTGACCACCTCGAATACTTTTTCTCCAAGGTTGATGGACTGATTACATCTTTATTTCACTGCTACACCTTTTGCCTCTGTATTTGACTGAAGAAGCCTATTGTGTAGGCGAAATATTTCAACAATAAAAATACCTAACTGTTGCACATGTCTTAATCTTCAACTGGTCGGTACTTTACATTATATTCACCATAAGACGTTCATGTTTCCCTGCACTTCCCAAGTTATATTGATGACTACAATATTCTTACTCTGGACAGTTTATTAATTAAGAATAAGTCACAATACCATGGCTGGAACAGTTCATTAACAGTGTCACAATACCATGGCTGGAACAGTTCATTAACAGTGTCACAATACCATGGCTGGAACAGTTCATTAACAGTGTCACAATACCATGGCTGGAACAGTTCATTAACAGTGTCACAATACCATGGCTGGAACAGTTCATTAACAGTGTCACAATACCATGGCTGGAACAGTTCATTAACAGTGTCACAATACCATGGCTGGAACAGCTCATTAACAGTGTCACAATACCATGGCTGGAACAGCTCATTAACAGTGTCACAATACCATGGCTGGAACAGTTCATTAACAGTGTCACAATACCATGGCTGGAACAGCTCATTAACAGTGTCACAATACCATGGCTGGAACAGTTCATTAACAGTGTCACAATACCATGGCTGGAACAGCTCATTAACAGTGTCACAATACCATGGCTGGAACAGTTCATTAACAGTGTCACAGTACCATGGCTGGAACAGTTCATTAACAGTGTCACAATACCATGGCTGGAACAGTTCATTAACAGTGTCACAGTACCATGGCTGGAACAGTTCATTAACAGTGTCACAGTACCATGGCTGGAGCAGTTCATTAACAGTGTCACAGTACCATGGCTGGAACAGTTTTGTTTAACATAATATATTGCTGTATTTATTACGTTAGGAAGATGGTGCTTTTTTATCAATAACTCTTAATCGATTGCCAGACAAAGGACCTTTCGAGGTGTCAGGCAATGAATGCTATATCTTAGGGCCTTTTATGTGCATTGAGTTTTTTTTTTTTTTTTGCATATGTTGAGTCATACACGGGTAATGTCATAGGGTTTTGTGTTTCATGTCTATGTTCTGTTAACAACAGCTATTAGACAAGTTTCAGAGATAGTGTGTGTGTGTGTGTGTGTGTGTGTGTGTGTGTGTGTGTATGCAAGGAATTCGCAAGAGCAGGCGAAATATACACAAACACTGATCTCTGGCTGAAGGAGACTCGAACCTACGAACCTTGGAACAAAGTACGCAGTGCTATACCAATCTACCCACACTGGACAATACCTTGGCGTGCAGCTTGCGCTACACGTTGATCCAAGGCAGCCAGCTTTTCATCTCGTCCCCTGCATGCATCAGCCTTACTGAAAACTGGCTGCCTTGGATCAACGTGTAGCGCAAGCTGCACGCCAAGGTAAGGTCCAGTGTGGGTAGATTGGTATAGCACTGCGTACCTTGTTCCAAAGTTCGTAGGTTAGTCTCCTTCAGCCAGAGATCAATGTTTGTATATATATATATTATATATATATATATATATATATATATATATATATATATATATATATATATATCTCAATAACAACATTGCGCTAGCCAAGGATTCGAACCCATGTTGTACTGGCCTGCTTCATGGTAAGCGAGAACCACATGACGCTTTAAACCACAGGACCACCCAACCCTACAAGAATGGCGCAGCCAGCATACAGCTAGCTGTTGGGCTTAGAAGCTCCCACACCTCCGTATGCCCTCGGATGGTGGCCCAACAGCTAGCTGTGTGCTGGCTGCGCCATTCTTGTAGGGTTGGGTGGGCCTGTGGTTTAAACCGTCATGTGGTTCTCGCTTACCGTGAGGCAGGCCAGTACAACATAGGTTCGAATCCTTGGCTAGCGCAATGTTGTTATTGATATTATATATATATATATATATATATATATATATATATATATATATATATATATATATATATGTCGTGCCGAATATGTAAAACTGGTCAATTAGCAAGTACTCATTTAAAATTAAGTCCTTTCTAAAATTTTCTCTTATACGTTTAAATATATATATTTTTCATTAATGTTGATGTAAAAATTTATAATTTTGCACCAAAAGGAACTTGGAAAACTTGCCTAACCTTATTATAACAAGCGCAATTTATTTTAGCTTAACCCAACTAAATATATTTTAGGTTTGTTTACAATAATTTAATACTAAACAAACACAGTGAAATATATTTTTTTTTCGTTAGTTTCAGAATGATTTTGGCGAAATTATTGCATACACAAATTTTCACTTGTCCTATATGGCAAGATGAGCGTTGCTATTTAAGCCAAGATCGCAAGTTCTGCCTATTCGGCACGACATATATATATATATATATATATATATATATATATATATATATATATATATATATATATATATATATATATATATATATAATATATATATTATATTAGTCTTTTAAAGGGTGGTGAGTGTTGTCTGACACTTTAATGGGTGATAGTCACAGGATAATGGTTAATGGAAGTGTTTCTCTGACTTCACAGATGTTGATGCTGCAGGAGCAGGAAACTGGTAAGAGCGACCATCTCCGCCTCAACAGAAAGAGTGACAAGCAGTTCGTCTTTGACAGACTCTTCAGCGAGGAGTCCAATCAGGTTAGTAATGTGCCCATCCCAATCTTGGTTCTCTACGCCACTTTTCTCACAACCAAACACACTTGCCGTTCCCTAGACTGTGTCACCTGGATGGATTGCTGGAGTTTTGGGGATCTTGGTTGGCTGAATAGGAAGAGGTGACGGCCACTTTGAGGCGGATTGTAGGCCCATACCAGTATCTGATCTTCAGCAGCGGCTGTGCTCAGGCAGCTATACACACGCTTGAGCACTGTTCAGGACGGACTAGTGAAGAGCATCTTCTCGGTTCAGACCATTTTACTGTCGGTGGTGTAAACTGCAGCTGGGGAAATAGCATTTTTTTTACACAATTTTCACAATCGAGCATCACCACTAGCTTGTATATACACCCTATCGCTGCCACTGGGATCATTACGACTTGGTAAATTTATGTACCAACAGGTGTTTTCCATTGAGAAGGTGTTTTTGGAAGGTTGAAGAGCAGTTTTGGTCTGTTGTTGAAGAGCGAACGAATCTATAATAAAATAAACCCCTCAAGGTTCCTTGATGTTGGTGAGGGGCTCTTGATTTAGGGAATTGAATCTGTGCTCCAGTTCCCCGAATTAAGCCTGAATGCCTTCCACATCCCCTTCCCCCCAGGCGCTGTATAATCCTCCAGGTTTAGCGCTTCCCCCTTGATTATAATAATAATATAATAAAATAAAGTGAAAATATCTGAAGTACTCTTGTCTACTTCACCATGATCAATTACGGGACCATTCCTTAAAGTGATAGATTCCGTTTTAGCTGAGAGCTTTCCAGATTCCAGATTCCAGAACTAGTCATAGTTCCAGGACTGGCAGTGATGGAAGATGGTTTCACTGACACAGGTGACACTAGGAAACACTATAACCTATATAACCTAATGTTTATGATGTGAAAGTAACTGTGGATCTACCAGCATCGTCCTGTATGGCTCAGGGAACCAGCGTGTAACACGAGATGCGACGGAAGCGCCACCACCTTGCATCATTTGTGTTTTACTGGATTCGTTTAGCTTTTTTTTTTTTTTTTTTACACAGGGTTTGACAAGGTTAGGTTACTGCTCATCAGATGATCATCCCCACAGGTAGCAGTAATCTATGAATCTGACCATCCTTAAGCCAAGCCGGGAACCCTATGAACTATGGTTTGAGCAAAATGGAAAGGATTTGTGGTCTTGTACTTTAGAGATGGGCTGCTTCCTCTCTCCGATTAAGCTTCTTCAGGCTCTGTCAGTCAACATACCTCCGATTCTACCATTACTATTATTACTATAACTATTAATGCTGTTATTACTTAGTTAATACTACTACTACTAATAACACTACTAAGCACTGCGGTAACCTAGTACTGACTACTTCTACTAACCTCTACACTAAAGAATCTCATAGTGCACATCTACCAAGAGAGTCCTGTGTTCACTACAGTACTTCATGCAATCCTCAATGCTCTTTTTCTGATAGCTGACTTAGTTGGTTCTCTGTTCAAAGCGTACTCATATTCCCAATATACTGTTGTGTGTCCCTGACCCAGTATGCTTCTGTCCACCGTATGGTCCGAAAGATCCAAGAGTGGCAGTCAGTCAGTGTCCAGTGGTCATGGAAAATGTCTGGCCTTATGTACGACATGGGTGTTTGGGTCCTATCTTTCAACAGGAATCGTATTTTTGGGATGAATCTATCGACTGATGATCAGGGATGCATCTCAGCAATAGCCACCTGTTGAAGGGTGCTCCTGTCCCCCTCCCTGTGTAATTTGTGACGTGTAGGTGACTGTAAAACATATTTTAATATGTTGCCCAGTATTTACGTATTTCTGCCTTCATAATTTTTATTAATACAGAGGAGCCTATAAGGCACTCGGACAACTTATAGGAGAGCCTTTGATATTAATAATTTAATGAAGTTTTAATAATGCTGGTTATTTTAACTTGGTGTAATAGTTTTGTGCTGATGAGTTTCTTCATGTTTGTAGGTTTTTATTGTTTAATTTTATTATTGTTTTGTGTTTTGTATGTCATTGCTTTCATTAAAATGAGCGCCGAATTCCGCTTTGTAAATATTAAAACTACCACCACTGTACTCGATACTGACCCCTACTTATTAATACTCCTAACCAATGCACTAATTACCGACCCTTACTTATTAATACTCCTAACCAATGCACTAATTACCGACCCTTACTTATTAATACTCCTAACCAATGCACTAATTATCGACACTTACTTATTAATACTCCTAACCAATGCACTAATTACCGACCCTTACTTATTAATACTCCTAACCAATGCACTAATTACCGACCCTTACTTATTAATACTCCTAACCAATGCACTAATTACCGACCCTTACTTATTAATACTCCTAACCAATGCACTAATTATCGACCCTTACTTATTAATACTCCTAACCAATGCACTAATTACCGACCCTTACTTATTAATACTCCTAACCAATGCACTAATTACCGACCCTTACTTATTAATACTCCTAACCAATGCACTAATTACCGACCCCTACTTATTAATACTCCTAACCAATGCACTAATTACCGACCCTTACTTATTAATACTCCTAACCAATGCACTAATTACCGACCCCTACTTATTAATACTCCTAACCAATGCACTAGTTACCGACCCCTACTTATTAATACTCCTAACCAATGCACTAGTTACCGACTCCTACTTATTAATACTCCTAACCAATGCACTAGTTACCGACCCCTACTTATTAATACTCCTAACCAATGCACTAGTTACCGACTCCTACTTATTAATACTCCTAACCAATGCACTAGTTACCGACCCCTACTTATTAATACTCCTAACCAATGCACTAGTTACCGACCCCTACTTATTAATTCTCCTAACCAATGCACTAGTTACCGACTTCTACTTATTAATACTCCTAACCAATGCACTAGTTACCGACCCCTACTTATTAATACTCCTAACCAATGCACTAGGTACCGACTCCTACTTATTAATACTCCTAACCAATGCACTAGTTACCGACCCCTACTTATTAATACTCCTAACCAATGCACTAATTACCGACCCCTACTTATTAATACTCCTAATCAATGCACTAGTTACCGACCCCTACTTACTAATACTCCTAACCAATGCACTAATTACCGATCCCTACTTGTTAATACTCCTAACCAATGCACTAATTACCGACCCCTACTTATTAATACTCCTAACCAATGCACTAATTACCGACTCCTACTTATTAATACTCCTAACCAATGCACTAATTACCGACTCCTACTTATTAATACTCCTAACCAATGCACTAATTACCGACCCCTACTTATTAATACTCCTAACCAATGCACTAATTACCTACCCCTACTTATTAATACTCCTAACCAATGCACTAATTACCGACCCCTACTTATTAATACTCCTAACCAATGCACTAGTTACCGACCCCTACTTATTAATACTCCTAACCAATGCACTAATTACCGACTCCTACTTATTAATACTCCTAACCAATGCACTAATTACCGACCCCTTCTTATTAATACTCCTAACCAATGCACTAATTACCGACTCCTACTTATTAATACTCCTAACCAATGCACTAATTACCGACTCCTACTTATTAATACTCCTAACCAATGCACTAATTACCGACCCCTACTTATTAATACTCCTAACCAATGCACTAATTACCGACTCCTACTTATTAATACTCCTAACCAATGCACTAATTACCGACCCTACTTATTAATACTCCTAACCAATGCACTAATTACCAACTCCTACTTATTAATACTCCTAACCAATGCACTAATTACCGACCCCTACTTATTAATACTCCTAACCAATGCACTAATTACCGACCCCTACTTATACTCCTAACCAATGCACTAATTACCGACCCCTACTTATTAATACTCCTAACCAATGCACTAATTACCGACCCCTACTTATTAATACTCCTAACCAATGCACTAATTACCGACCCCTACTTATACCCCTAACCAATGCACTAGTTACCGACCCCTACTTATTAATACCCCTAACCAATGCACTAGTTACCGACCCCTACTTATTAATACCCCTAACCAATGCACTAATTACCGACCCCTACTTATTAATACCCCTAACCAATGCACTAGTTACCGACCCCTACTTATTAATACTCCTAACCAATGCACTAATTACCGACCCCTACTTATTAATACTCCTAACCAATACACTAATTACCGATCCCTACTTATTAATACTCCTAACCAATGCACTAATTACCGACCCCTACTTATTAATACTCCTAACCAATGCACTAATTACCGACCCCTACTTATTAATACTCCTAACCAATGCATTAACTACTGACCCTACTCATGCTTCTACTGTTACACTACGACTGCTGCAGGATGAGTTGTACAAGGACACGACCAAGGTGCTGGTGGAGGACGTGTTGAAGGGCTTCCACGCCACAGTGTTCGCTTACGGTGCTACGGGAGCAGGAAAGACCTTCACTATGGTGGGTACCACTGAGCAGCCTGGCATCATGGTCAGGGCTCTCAACGACCTCTTCAACACCCTAGACTCTGAGAGAAACTCCAAGGCAAAGGTAAGTAGATCTGCAGCTTCCAGTGATGCGTCTCTCTTCCTATTAATATGTACTTCAAGACACTATCCTAACCTGACGTAACCTGAGACTTAGTGAAGAAAAACGGTAGACCCAAAGTCAGGTCTCCAGACCTAAGTTCTCTTAATATGCACAAATAACCCACGAATTATTTGTGTATTGCGCCTTTTTATTCTTTATCTCTTAATATTACAGTATTGATGTTATTCGTATTTAGGATTTTCCCTCCGTGATATTAAATAGTGTATTGTGTGCGCGTTTCTCTATAAGCGAACTAATGCCGAAGTCATCAGACTTTGAACTGAATAACCCACACGAGTTACTGCTTCGTATAGAGAGGTTCCATGTCTATAATATCAGGAGTGATTTGTTTTATCAATAAGTATGGGCACACAGCTTCATATTGTTAACATAATTATAATTTTCCGGCATATAAGTCGCGCTTTTTTTCCCACAAAAAGTCTTGGAAAATCATCGTGCGTCTCATATGATGTTACACTTAAGCAGTTCTTTACTAGCGTTACGTTACAACTGCTCGAAACATGGTCTTATATGTTCGTGCGTCTTATATTCCGGAAAATACTTTGTATCGGTATGTAAGTGTTGGATGTGTCTTTGCTGATCAACGTGGCGGTGTAGTATACCATTTATAATGACACACAATGTAGGCCAGAAATATAATGTGTATATTCCAATATAGAGTACACTCTTATTTAACTTTGTTTACCATACATTGTAAACGAGTGATAATAAAGCAACATCAGTACTGGAGATTCAACACATCAGTACTGGAGATTCAACACATCAATACTGGAGATTCAACACATCAGTACTGGAGATTCAACACATCAATACTGGAGATTCAACACATCAATACTGGAGATTCAACACATCAGTACTGGAGATTCAACACATCAATACTGGAGATTCAACACATCAATACTGGAGATTCAACACATCAGTACTGGAGATTCAACACATCAATACTGGAGATTCAACACATCAATACTGGAGATTCAACACATCAGTACTGGAGATTCAACACATCAATACTGGAGATTCAACACATCAGTACTGGAGATTCAACACATCAATACTGGAGATTCAACACATCAGTACTGGAGATTCAACACATCAGTACTGGAGATTCAACACATCAGTACTGGAGATTCAACACATCAGTACTGGAGATTCAACACATCAGTACTGGAGATTCAAACACATCAGTACTGGAGATTCAACACATCAGTACTGGAGATTCAACACATCAGTACTGGAGATTCAACACATCAGTACTGGAGATTCAACACATCAGTACTGGAGATTCAACACATCAGTACTGGAGATTCAACACATCAGTACTGGAGATTCAACACATCAGTACTGGAGATTCAACACATCAGTACTGGAGATTCAACACATCAGTACTGGAGATTCAACACATCAGTACTGGAGATTCAACACATCAGTACTGGAGATCAACACATCAGTACTGGAGATTCAACACATCAGTACTGGAGATTCAACACATCAGTACTGGAGATTCAACACATCGGTACTGGAGATTCAACACATCGGTACTGGAGATTCAACACATCGGTACTGGAGATTCAACACATCGGTACTGGAGATTCAACACATCGGTAACTGGAGATTCAACACATCGAGTACTGGAGATTCAACACATCGGTACTGGAGATTCAACACAGTACTGGAGATTCAACACAGTACTGGAGATTCAGCACATCAGTACTGGAGATTCAGCACATCAGTACTGGAGATTCAACACATCAGTACTGGAGATTCAACACATCAGTACTGGAGATTCAACACATCAATACTGGAGATTCAACACATCATACTGGAGATTCAACACATCATACTGGAGATTCAACACATCAATACTGGAGATTCAACACATCAAATACTGGAGATTCAACACATCAATACTGGAGATTCAACACATCAATTACTGGAGATTCAACACATCATACTGGAGATTCAACACATCAGTACTGGAGATTCAACACATCAATACTGGAGATTCAACACATCAATACTGGAGATTCAACACATCAGTACTGGAGATTCAACACATCAATACTGGAGATTCAACACGTCAATACCGGAGATTCAACACATCAATACTGGAGATTCAACACATCAATACTGGAGATTCAACACATCAATACTGGAGATTCAACACATCAATACGGAGATTCAACACACAATACTGGAGATTCAACACATCAATACTGGAGATTCAACACATCAGTACTGGAGATTCAACACATCAATACTGGAGATTCAACACAGTACTGGAGATTCAACACATCAGTACTGGAGATTCAACACATCAATACTGGAGATTCAACACATCAATACTGGAGATTCAACACATCAATACTGGAGATTCAACACATCAGTACTGGAGATTCAACACATCAATACTGGAGATTCAACACATCAGTACTGGAGATTTAACACATCAGTACTGGAGATTCAACACATCAATACTGGAGATTCAACACATCAGTACTGGAGATTAACACATCATACTGGAGATTCAACACATCAATACTGGAGATTCAACACATCAATACTGGAGATTCAACACATCAATACTGGAGATTCAACACATCAATACTGGAGATTCAACACATCAATACTGGAGATTTAACATATCAATACTGGAGACTCGACACATCAGTACTTGAGACTCAACACATCAGTACCTGTGGCTCATCAGCACATCAATACTGGAGACTCATCATCAACACCTCAATATTGAGACTCATCAACAACGTCTATGAATGCACTCTGGACTCTAACACATCAATACTGGAGACTCATCAACACATCAATATTGGAGACTCATCAACACGTCAATACTGGAGACTCAACAGCACATCAATACTGGAGACTCATCAACACGTCAGTACTGGAGACTCAGCAGCACATCAATATTGGAGACTCATCAACACGTCAATGATGGAGACTCAGCAGCACATCAGTACTGGAGACTCAGCAGCACATCAATATTGGAGACTCGTCAACACGTCAATGCTGGAGATTCAGCAGCACATCAATACTGGAGACTCATCAACACATCAATACTGGAGACTCATCAACACATCAATACTGGTGCTCAACACATCAGTACTTGTACTCAAACACATCAATACTTTTGGCTCAACACATCAATACTGCGACTCAACATCAAATACTGGTGGAGTTCATCCATACGGGGACTTAAACTACTGGTGACATCCTAACTCAACACATCAGTACTGGCGACTCAACACATCAGTACTGGCGAGTCATCAACGCATCAATCCTGGTGACTCGTTGTTTTGTGAGTACGTGGATGTCTTCAGAATGAGAGAGTTCATGGAGAGTCTGCAAAAACTGTCTTGGGCTGCGGCTCGTACGACGGTTTACGTGCGGCCAGCGGTAACAGTCTGGTTGATCAGGCCCTGATCCACCACGAGGCCTGGTCTTGGACCGGGCCGCAGGGGCGTTGACCCCCGAAACTCCCTGCAGGTATGTATCGCTAGTTACACTTGCACACTCTTAAGGCAGGTAGGTACCTTGATGCTAAAGTCTCTTGATCCAAGGGACTGGTGCTATCCTCCCGTTTATTGTAGCGGATGTGTTTACAGCCCTCAGGCGCTGTGTGACCCCTATGGGTTTAGCACTTCTCTATGTATATAGCACATTGTTATGTTTGAGGTTCGATAGTGCGACATTGTGGCTACCCGCTGGTATTTCTTCGTTGATGGTGGTACCTTGTCTGTCACCAGTGTTCGTCTCTACTGGGAAAAATATACACAATTGTGACTTGGTAAAGCCCACCGTGTGGGCGAAACGTAGTCAATAAGGGATTGTATTTTATTGCTTTTGTGTTTATTTTTCCATCTTGTCGATATTTTATACCATTTATCTTCTTCGTCTCCACTTACTGGATTAACACACTGGCCTGGAGTTTCAGCACTCACTTGCCGTGCGTTCAGACTCCACCCGCTCCCTGGTTCAATAATGGTACTCTCCCATTCTGACGTTTCTTCCCTGACAGTCACTCCTTGCTGTCTTCCTCTAAGGTACTCTTTGATTCACTGGAGTACAGGAGGTCTCCGTTCATACAGCTTTAAATATGGCGCCGGTTGTCCTTACCTTACGCAACTGTTGTATGAATATTACCTGGAGTTTACCTGGAGAGAGAGTTCCGGGGGTCAACACCCCCGCGGCCCGGTCTGTGACCAGGCCTCCTGGTGGATCAGAGCCTGATCAACCAGGCTGTTACTGCTGGCTGCACGCAATCCAACGTACGAACCACAGCCCGGCTGGCGATAACAGCTGCGCAGCGGTAAAAGCACGGAACATTATGAACAGTGGTTCAGTTGAAATGTAACAAAAACGTTGAACACTTAAAAGAGGGCGCTGTATACTTGGGAAGCTCCAGTATATGCCTTGTTATTCCTGTCTAGCCCTCAAGTTTTTACTCCAACCTCTTGCATACAGTATCAATTGCCTTCTTGCTCCACGTGTTCTATCTCTCTCCTCTCCATTCCTTTGCGTGGTATCTATTTATCTTATCTTACATAAAACTGCTTCTCAAACCATACCACGGGTGGGGTTAGAACCCGCGATCAGAGAGTCATAAAACTCTAGACCGACGCGCCAGACACTGGGCCAGCTGGCTACAAGATTCGTCCAACTAGGTATATTTATACACCATAGGAAGGTTAGCATAGGTTCTAATCCTGCCCGTGGTATGGTTTGTTTACAGTCGTGTCATTACGGTTTCGTGAGTCTTGATAACTGCTTCTCGTCTGTCTCCCGTCTTAAATAGTGATTACATTCGCTGTCTTAAAGATCTCTGGTAATTGTTAGCTAGCGGCTCGGACAGTGCTTCTGCTCTCTTGCAGTATTTTTAAACACACCTTTTAAAGCCTTGTTGGTTTTGATGTTCTCAGTACCAT